AACTTGCTGAGGGTGCACCCAATCCCACTCTCCATGTTCCCAACAAAGATGTTAAACAACACTGGCCCCAGTACTGACCCCTGAAGAATGCCACTCATCAGCGGTCTCCACTGGGACATTGAGCCACTGATCACAACTCTTTGAGTGCGACCATCCAGCCAATTCCTTATCCAGCAAGTGGTCCTTCTCTGGAATCCACGTCTCTCCAAATTAAAGACAAGGATGTCATGTGGGACTGTGTCAAAGGCTTTGCACATGGCCAGGCAGATGACATCAGTTGCTCTTCCCTTATCCATTAATGCTGTAGCCTCATCGTAGAAGGCCACCAAATTTGTCAGGCACGATTTGCCCTTGGTGAAGCCATGTTGGTTGTCATCAATCACCTCCTTGTTTTCCACGTGCCTTAGGATAGTTTCCAGGAGGATTTGCTCCATGATCTTGCCAGGCACAGAGGTGAGACTGTTCTGTAGTTTCCCTGTGTCTTCCTTTTCTCCCTTTTTAAAAATAGGGGTTATATTTCCACTTTTTCAGTCAGCGGGAACTTCACCAAAGTGCCACGACTTCTCGAATATGATGATGGATAGTGGCTTGGCAACTTAATCTGCCAGTTCCCTCAGGACCCGCAGATGTAACTCATCAGGTCCCATGGACTTGTGCACCTTCAGGTTCTTTAGACGGTCTTGAACCTCATCTTCTCCTACAGTTGTCAGTACTGTTGCTTCTCTTAAACTGATCACTATAAGTATTCTAACCTTGCCAATCCTGCAGTTACATACTGCTGGACACATTTAAGTTATGTGACCAAAAGCACATTTAAAGTTACCATATAGGATATATAGGTCCAACTGCCTTGCTAAAAGCTATTTTTTTTAAAACCCGCTACGCTATTGCAGAAGATAGAGTCACTTTATTTTCCATTTGTGATCAGAGCCCACAGCTCCTTTTGTAACAGAATGGGATCAAATCCTTTGGTATGAATATTTTTGAAGAGCAGTAGCCACTGCAGTAGTTCTGTCACCCAACATTTTGAGCTCATTTAGTTCTTATAAAGTCTTCACAAACTAGATTTATGTTTCTTTTCTGAATTATACTATTTTTTATATATATATATGTATGTATAGCGGCCTTCCAGTACCTGAAGAGGGCCTACAGGAGAGGTGGGGAGGGACTTTTTACAAGGGCATGTAGCGACAAGACAAGGGGCAATGGATTTAAACTGGAAGAGGGCAGATTTAGACTAGATATTAGGAAGAAATTTTTCACTGTGAGGGTGGTGAGGCACCGGAACATTTTGCCCAGAGAAGCTGTGGATGCCCCATCCCTGGAGGTGTTCAAGGCCAGGCTGGATGAGGCTTGGAGCAACCTGGTCTAGTGGAGGGTGTCCCTGCCCATGTCCCGGGGGTTGTAACTAGATGAACTATAAGGTCCCTTCCAACCCAAACCATTCTATGATGCTATCATTCTATTACAAGGACTATTTCTTCCATGATATTGTGATGTACCTTTTTGTTAAAAGCAATTAGCCTGTGAGCCTCTTTCAGAAAAGTGATAGAAGGAGACATTAGCAATAGGACTAGCGCAGAACTAAAAATCCACGTAGCCTGAATAAATTTTTATGATTAACACAAGCCCAAGAACACATAGTGATGGAAATCTAAAGGAACTTACAAAGATCAAAGCATACCTCTCCTCCAAAAGTACTTTTTACTACTGTCAAAACCCCTAAATGAACGCCTTTCTCAAAAGCTCAGTGTCATACATTCAGAGAAGTGCTGCTTCACATTTTCTAAATCCCTTTTTACATCTTTGAAATGTTCTCCCAGCTTCCCTTGTATGTCAACTCTCATCAAGCCTCCAGGAGCATCTGGAAACATCCCCCCAGTATCTCCCTAAAGCACAGGGCTAAAGGATAACGCCTGGACTGTGAAGGACCTTAGGCTGGATTTAAATACCAAGAGTTAGGAATGTTATTCTTGTCCATAACCTGCAATACATTTTTTCTTAAGTACAGAAAAACTTAAAGAAAACTTGAGGATAGAAATTCATTTTCTGCATCTCTATTTTCCTGTCTTGTCTTTCAACCCTTCAGTCAATTACTCCCACCTTCAGTATCACTCTGTTCTTTTGTCTTTATTTCTTAATTATCTTGACTTTTCTCTTCATTGTTATTGTAATTTGCATATTTCTACTGCCTGAACAAACCAAATGTGATATTTAGCTCTCTGTTCCATACTTCTGTTAACTAACACTTCAGCATTGCTTCCTCTGACTCAGACTGACTACTTGTTTTCTTTTATCTGTTGCATGTATTCTTACTGCTACTCAGCTGATAACTAGTTCTATTATGTACATCCTAAAGCACTGCTTTCTGTATTGTTTAGTATTTCCATTTTCTCTTTAATGGAACATAATGTTTGGTTTTCCTTTATTTTTTTTTTTTCTTTTAATGAAAGGCCATACAGTTACACATGTTTTGTTGTAGCTTTATTATTTTGGTTGAAGGTTTTGTTTTGCTGTTCCTGATGACCAATTTACAGGTCTTTGAGAAACTACAGCTTCCACACGATTAACAGCAGACATTAAACTGACCAGTTAATTGCCTTTATGAGTCCATTCTTACTGAGTACACTCTGTCTGATGTTAACACACATGCATCCAGCTATGTCTATCATCTTAGAATTAGAGCACACACAATTCCCACAGGGCAGCTGAATATGCTTCAGGCAAGGCTGTTACAACTGAACAATCCCTCTATTACAACTGAACAATCCCTAATGGCTTCTCCCAGAAGCTCTAAGATGAATATCCAACATGACCCATGGGGCTAGCTGAAATGCAGGCATGGGAATGTGATAAAGCACCCAGGACAGATTAAAATGTTAACATGCAGCTCTTTGATATCCTGCTTTCTCACAGTTGAGTGCTTGCTTCTGTGTCTCATTTACAGCACAGTATGCCAATTCTGCTCACTGGCTTTTCACAACAGTATCTGCATACTTCAAGAATAACAAGTGACTTAGTTTCACAGTATTGCTGCTACAAATCTTCCCTCTCCTGATTGTGCTGATAGTGAACTGTGGAACACAGCAAGCAAGGTAAAGAAACCTATTTTAGATACTCAGTTTTCCACACTCGGGGTCTGATTGTCAGTGTATTTACCGCTATTCCTCGTATTCTTCAGTTACATCAAACTGTAGAGAACAAGGACAATTCCTGATTGTTTACTTCAGGTTCTTATGTCTGATTCTCAAAAAGACGACCACCTCTAGGAAGTTTAAGCCTCAACTTGGTTGGTTTGTTTCAGAAACTGAGGGGTGTGGACAGGTACAACTCCAGAAATCAACATTCAGCTTCCTTAACCTTGATGTTAGCCTTTCTCCTCTTATGATATCTTCTGTCCTAAGTTCAGCTTTCATTTCTGCAAGGAACAGGCAGGGGGCTCTTCAGACATCTCCCTCTTCAACCACACAGTCCCAATGCACTTCTAGAAAGTGCACGCATACCACAGTGAACAACAAGAGTCCCAGCAGCGTGCACGAACAAACTCTGATCACAGAGCACTCTAATGTTACACAAGCAACAGTAATTCCTGACACTTTCACACCCTTTGATAACACAAGACCTTTTCCTTATCTAGTCAATCATAATGCTACCTCCTGCAGCTATTAACATGTTAAAGAACAGAATTTGTCTTCTCAAGTTACCTTCTTCCTTCCTTTGATCAAGTGAAAGCCAAGACATTTCGAAGATCAGATACAGAAATTCTCAATTTAACTGTTGACTTTGTGAGTCTAAACCCCTCTATTTTCATTTGTCATAGGGCATTTAGCTCTCAGAGATAACCCACACTTCATATTCTGTCATCTAACCTCTACTCAAGGAAGTAGAGCCTCCCATCCTTCATCTTTGGTCTCGAATGTCAACATGTTCATTTCCAAAGCTGACAGAAAACTGCCCTCATGATCTCAAAATGCCTTTGAACCGCTTCCATCTTAAAATCATGTTCTACTTTCATATTTCAGTTATTGCCACTAAGCAACTTTTCCTGAATTTCATTCTTGCCCTTTGGTTTTCCAAACTGGAGTAATGCAACAATTCAAAGAAATACATATATCGTTCCCATCAAATTTCTGTTCCTAAAGTGGCCTCCTGAAAAGCCACTTCCTCTCTTCAAATCACACTACAAAAACTTTAATTTTACCTTGAGTTTAATAACTTCCTACAAGGCTCTGTACTAAGAATGAAAAGCAAAAAATTCTAGCTTCTTACAGAGAATTTAGACAAAGGACCATAAACAGATGTTTTGGTCAAGTCTGACTTTGTGCATACTAACTACTTGCAATGTATAGAAATCAATTATCTTTCAACGGCAAGGTAAGAAATATTTACAAAAAAGTTCAATACACATCCCACAAGCAAAGTAGCCTTTGCACCACATTATGCTATGCTAAATGTAGGAAGCATGAAATGCAATGGCAACTGAAGATTCATACAACTAGGCAATTTAAAAAAATTTTAGATGTTTTAAAACTGGACAAGTGCAGTATATATACAGAAAACGAGACTTCCTCTCCATCACTTACTGATGTTTGCACCATCATAGCTCGCTGGTCTCGCATTTTTCGTACAATATCCAGAGGATAAACAGGCTGGTTTCTTTCAATTAAGCACATGGCTGTTTCCATAGTGACTAACACACCAGTGCGACCGATTCCAGCACTGTGAAATGTAACAGAAAAATAGTCTATAAAATTAGGGTTTTGCAATGCATCTGTTCATATCAGAGTCTTACTACTAGGATGCTAAATAGCCTTAGAAATTACAGGAAGACCTTAATAATATTAACACGGAGTGCAAAGCTTATCTTTAAAGCAACTTCAGTAATATTTCCTGCCAATTAATACAAAAACCTGAATTTGTATATAAAGAAAACTAAAACCAAAACCTCACTTAAAGTAAATAGATTTTTCACAATTATAACTGCTTACTAATATAAATGTACTGGTTTGACATTCTTGACTAAAAAAGGCAAGAGCTAATTTACTGCTTCTTGACAAGCAATTGAACAGAAGAAAAAAACTTTGCAGTACCATTTAAACTTAGGTTACAATGGTGCTAGAGGATAAAAATGGAGAACAATTTACATTACAGATTATCAGCTCTGTGATAATTATGTGACTAAGCCATTTCACCAAAAAGTTGCAGGAGAAAGGGAAAGAAAAGAAACTCATCCTTTAGATGTAACATCAGCACTTCTGTCTTCAACAGCGAATGCTAGCATTGCAGAGTTTAACATTTTGATCTAATTCAAGGAATCTCCTGTCTTGCAGACAAACTTTTCAAAGCAAGTGCTTATTCTAGGGCTGAAGCAAATCTCTAATCAGAATTTTAAAACACAAATACCTGCAGTGAACAAGGACTGGCTCATTCTCTACTCTCTTTGGTCTCATACAGGTCACAAACTCCAAAAAGTCCCTGGAGTCATCAGGAACACCATGATCAGGCCAAGCAACATACTGGAGATGGGTGACGGTGTGTTGTTGTTCTGTCTAAAATAAAGAAAGGTTTTCAAAAAGTTCTCAGTGTTATGACTCCTGTATTGACATTTACTAGATACAAGTCATACTTTAAACAGTAAGCATATTCTGCAGGGGCTCCAAGATGAATACGACATCGAAAATGTTTGTAATTTTAAAATTCAGAATAAAGTATGTCCTGGGTTCAGCTGAGACAGAGTTAACTTTCTTCATAATTGCTAGTAAGAGCCTGTGTTTTGTACTTGTGCTAAGAAGAAAGCTGATAACAGTGATGTTTATAGTTGCTGCCAGGACAGCCCAAGGTCTTGTAGCTTCTCTTCTGTGCACAGGTGCAGGAGAAGCTGTGAGGCAGCACAGTCCAAGTACTAGCCTAGGATTTGATCCTAGGTGTAGGACTGAGACCCAAACTGGCCAATAGTCTATTCCATATCATGCACGTCATGCCCAGTATATAGGTGAGGGCTCTCCGGAAGTTGTCTCTCTGCCTCCAGGTCAGCTCTCTTTCCAGGTTGTCTCTCTCATGGTGGTCCCTCTCCCAGGGTTGTCTCCCTCCCTCAGTCAGGTCTTGGTCTGGGACGCTCCGTCTCTTATCTCCTCTCCGGGAGTGAGGTTTTGGGACTCTGCCTGTTTCGGGATCATTAGCCAGGAACAGGCTGAGCCTTGGTCATTGGATGAGCAGTATCACTGTGTATCACTCATTTGCATATTCATATACATTACCATTATGATCATCATTACTATTATTATCAATATTATTGTAGTTTAGTTATTAAATTGTTGTTATCTCAACCCATGAGTCTTTTTTTCCCTTTATCCCTCTAATTCTCTCCCCCCATCCCCAGGAAGGGCGGGGGGAGGAGGGTGAGAGAGCAGCTGTGTGGAGTTGGCTCCCAGCCAAGGGTAAAACTATAACAAGTACAAACATGTAATTCTTAAAAATAATGCAAAACGCATAACATTTTCTAAATAAATGAGATATTAATCTTAAGTTCTGTGATATAAACAGATTTTCTGTTTTTTAATTTATTGACCATTGACCTATTATACATTGACCTCACTGACCTGAGGTAAAACGCTACAAGACTTCGGCACAATAGTACTATACAACAGTTTAGAACAGGATGGAAGAAACAGCTGAAAACAGCAGAACTATTCACCACAACATCAAAATAACAGTGTCTTGGGACTATACAATCACAACTCAACAGGATGGTAATGAGGTTATACATACAATATAGCACTGAGGAATGCTATCCTTGCATACTAGTTCAATGCTGTAAGGTGCACATCACCTGTTCATTACCTGCTACACATTAGGTCCTCCCATTAAAAGAAAAAATGCATGCCTTTTTTTGTCTCATTCAGCAATCCAAATCAATCTCTCAAAGTAAAGCTGCAGATCTATTCTAAATATGCATGTCTTTGCGTACTTATAGGTCGAGTAATAAAACAAAGTTGCCTGCAATATTTGCTAACTCCGGTTTCTGTTAGAAAACAATATCTATATTGTTCATAGATATGTATTCATTATAGATATATGAACAATTTCTGTACGACCCACAGAAGAAATTTTTTCTTTATGGAAGCAGTCTAATTAGTTTAAAACATTCTGTTTTATAAAGAGCTCTTTTTTTTTCACTCAATTTTACCTAAAAAGAAAGTTTCACTAAAGTTTTTTCAGTTTAGCTCTTTGTTAACTTTGGTTATGAAATAACTCAAACATTTTTGACTTCAACTGCTATGTTACAGATGTAACCAATGATTAGGGTGGAAAGGAGAAAAACTAAGACACTCCTGAGCTCTGCTGCATCACGGAATGAAGATATCTCACTCTTTACAAACTGACGCTAGTCTTCACATTGTTCCTTTATTTCTTCAACATGTTCAGCAACAGTTAAACTGTTAGCTTCATTTTATCAGAGTCCATTACTAGACTTGACATTTGACACCCTACTGAAATAAAACTCTCCTTTATCACTGTACTAGTCTATAAAAGCTGGCCCCTCCCTAGTGGTCCACACCAGAATGTTTTCATGATGCCAGTCACTTTAAAAGTTCTTTTTTCCTTTTCTCTTAAATGCACAACTACTGAAATATATGACTTGTTTTATGACTTCAGCTGGTTGCATTCCTCTTCCACTGGAGGAAGTTGTTCCACTCCCAGGGAGTAAAATACAGAAGTAAATATACAGAAGACAGAAAAACGAAAATAAAAACCTAAAATACAGAAGACAGAAAAACTACTGCCTATGTACCAAGTAGAGCCCCAAGGAAATGCATTTATTCCAGTCAAAGTAATTGCAGAAATTTACAATTGCCTCCAGGGAGATGAAGATAAACAACACAGTTCATACTTTGCTTCTTAAAGGCAGAGCTTGAGCAATCACAATTAAAAGGTCTAGCACAGGGCCCAAATGGACAATGTAATCTAACATTAATGACCAAGCTCACTGTAAGACAAATTACATTGGGATCTATCATCCAGGTCAACAAAAGACCCCACCAATGACTAGGATCTCTGCAAGAAAAAGTATGGCTTTTTCCTACTCAGTTTTTCTGCCATTATGTAATTGAGCTTGATCAAACGATTACACTTTAAAATTTTATGAAATGCCACAGATTGAAAAAACACAAAAACATGACAAGAAAGTGTCATTAAAAAGTCCTCTTTTGCAAATCTGCGCGTGCTTACTCACAATCTCTTCAAAAGGGAAATGAGATAACACAGCAATTACATGTAACAGTTTGAGATGATTCTCTTAAATCAGAGACATTTGAATTACAGCATTTGATTGACACAACGACTTGATTAATTCTAAAATTATCCATGAGTGAGTATCCAGTCACCTTCCATGTGCATGAAGAACTTCAAGCTATGCATTGTGGATAAGTGCCAGAGGCACACCTTAGAAGCACTGACAGTGATCTGTAGCATCAAAAGACATTTTATAAGCTCAGAAAAGCGGAGGTAACTCATTTTTTACTTATTAGTAATTCAGGTTCAAATATAGAGAGTTGCTTTTTTTTTAATAGTTCATATACATTAAGAACAACAAGCATGTTACATAAGACTTATTCAGAGTAAGAACACACTGTAAGAGCATGCTGTTAGTCCTCAGAGCCGCTTCTTTTGGTGTGATCATCTTCATTTTCTGTTACATGCCCTACTCATCCCTAGAGATGAACTTAGCTGTTTGTTAATTATTACAGGTATGTGTCAAGCTTCAGTATAGTTTTCTAGTTATTTGTGTTTTGATATAATTAATTTTGATTCTTTTGGTTGGGCTCTTCTGAGATGATTCAAATTGTTAAAAGTTGACCATTACATTACTTGCTTTTCAAAATGCACGAGTATTTAAAAATACTTAATTTTTTATTACTAAGTTAAACCTATTGTAAACTGTAGTTATAGGAATATGAGTTAGAACTAGTTTTCTAATACTTTCATGTCTCATGCAGAAGATATAAAATCAGTACTCCGATGAAGTCTAGGGGTTTTTTTAAAGCTGTCAGCTTTTAAATTCAGAAAATGTCAGCCAAATATCACCACACATGGAAATAACTTGCATTAAAAGACCACCACGGTTACTAAAATCTAGCACTTGTACATTAAAAATAGTGCTAGACTTAGATACTGGTCCCATAGTTAGCCCCACTGTACCTGTCCTATTAAGAATACTTAATTTTTAAACACACTATTTCTGCCAGATTCCGCTTCTTTGTAGTAGCGCAAAATAAAGAGGTAGCTTCTTATTATACTTTGCCATCCAAACCATTATTCTCCGCAAGTCAGCTTAAATCCTTTCTATAATTTTTTTTTTTTTTTTGCACTGAGATGTTCAATGACAGTCATCACTGTAGCATCCTAATGACTGACAAATGTAGAATTTATCTTTATAAAATCTGGCTTTATTAGTCCTGTTTTATAAGTCTAAACTCACAGAAAACGAGATGGAAAGAGTTGCTCACGGCCTGGTTGCTGTTTACCTAACTTGACACTATATACCTTGTTAAAAAAAAAATTAAAGTTTTATGCACTTGCATGGACTAATTTCAATTGAATTTGTGTATTTGGTATTTCCACAACTCAGCTTAAAAATGGTGGATTAAAAAAAAAATGAGTCCAAACAATTTCCAGACTCCAGTGACACTTCTGGATTATGTAATTTGCCCAGTTTATCATCAGCCATTTGGCCAACATTTAGCTGCTTAATGGCATTGACCTACATTTACTTGGGAAGCAGACACAGAGGTCTAAGAGATCATATCTGTCCCAAGTTATTTGTTACTGTCTTTCAGACAATGGTTAGATGTAAGCATCTTACTGAAAACGTAACTTCATTGTGGTTAAGATAGTATCCTGGATTTTGCTCAAAAACACAGGGTAAAGACACATGATCTTTTCTAATAAGTCTGCCATTGGGATTACAACTCCTGACAAAGTATAGGGCTGTCAGAGATAATGCCTCAAAAGGCTGCTGTAACACTTGCAAAACAATGCAAAAACATTAGGATGTCAAGACCTCCAGCCACAAAAATATCCATTCTTCAACTTTCTGTAGTTTCCAGCCTTGCTTACTGTAATTACACCAAAAGAGGTAGGCTTCCTTGTTTAATTCTCCTAAAATGACTCTCCTGGATTAATAAAAGAATTGAGTTTAGACACAGTTTAGAATGATAATACTCACATAGAAAGAAGGAAATTCAGACTTGAAAGGTCAACCTTAATTTTGACTTTTCTTAAAATCCAAGCAATTGATTTTGCATGTCAGCTTTTCATTTATTATCCTTTTTGGTCTAGGTTAGAATATAATATTCAAATTAAATAAAAAACAATGTAGAACTACATTAACCCTGAAGTGGTCCTATTATCTTGAAAGCAGGAAAAAGTATGCTCTTTGCTAGTGGTCTTCACAAATATGCCTTGAAAGCTGAAACTCAGTGATCAGGGTTAAGGCCTAGTTCTGAAGAGCAGACACTTTGGCAGTGGTTATTTCTTTGGACCACTGTTCCCACCTCATTATGCTTCTGTATATCCTTGCTGTAAAACCTTTAATCTGTTCTTCAGCTCTTCACTATTCCAAACCAACTCATTTTCTTCTGCCACGAGTATTTGACATAAGAGAACATGTTCAGCACACTTTACAAAGAAGCCTTTAAAATACCTCTGCACTGCGACAGGTCTGTTCAAGACGTTTATGGGATGGTCAGATTAATACAGATTTATTTGGAAAGAGAAAATATAAGGTATTGTTTAATGAGTGGAAGCAAAAGCTTCCATGACCCAATCTAAGAATCTTTAACATGAGCAAAGTCAACATCTCACCCGCAAACAGTTGTATGACGCATATCTTGCAAAGACGACAAATGGCGTGGAAAGCCTCAGCCCAAACAATTAAGAACTGTAAAAATTGCAGAGATTCTATATTCATCTGTTTACAGCAGAAAGTGCTGGCAGTATATGCATTTACATTGCTGCCTTTGTTTCATCTAATATAAATGTAACACAGTCACTATAAGGCCTACATGCTGGTGATTCATAAACAGAAAGATACCAGTCATTCTTCATTTTGCAGTTTTACCTCCTCCCGTCAGCAAACAGCAATATCCTTCCTTAGCAAAATGAATTTATGCTTAATCTTCAATTGGTTTGAATTGCTGCATCAATTTATTTTCTTTTTCTTCAAACCATCCCCTCCATCATTGTGATGGCCATGGAAAGTGATAGCTTTTAAATTAAAAAGAAGCTTATCTCCCCAGAGTCCTCTATTTGCATTGTCATTGTACAATCATACTAAACAGTCCCCATTATGACACAAGGAATTGTCTTCATTACCTTGACCTGGGTTGCTTAAAAGGGGTAAGTGCTCTCTTGTGGCACTCACTCCTCATCCATTATAGCAATGGTATAATTTGTCTTTAAAGAATGAAATTCAATCAATTTTTAAACATCTTGAATTTTTTTTCTTTTTGTTTGAATGACTTAGTTTAGTTAATAAAAATGATCAGGTGGAAGAATGACAGGGCACTTTGGAAACAACTAACAAGGTGTGGCAACAATGAACATAAGACATGGCAGAATAAAAAAAAACAAACTTGCAAAACTACAGTTCTTCAAAGGTATGTGAGTAATATGCTTTAGTAAGTATGGTCTCCACAGCCTTGCTAAGTTCCATGTCTGCGTTCTAGTCACACTTAATTGAAATAAAGAAAAATGCTTTTGCTGCAGGATAGCTTTCAATCTTGGTCTTGAAAGGAAAAGGCAGAAAATTAATCCTTATTTCATTTCATGAGGCTTAAAAAGGTTACAAATATTTCACACATTTGCTGATCTTCAACTTACAGGTAAAGCAGCACTAAGTTAAACCTCATCAGAAAAACCATAAAAAGTTTCTTGTTCCTCAAGTCTTCTGAATGTATATGAACAAAAGGCCAAGGGCATAATTTAATAAACTTCTCTTTTGAGCTATTTTCCCCTAAAGGCAGACTTGAAGTCCGTGCACTTAATTCACAGGAAACTCTTTCACATATATGCTTTTCCAACAGAAATCATGTCTCTTAAGCTTTATCCATCTTACTATTGAAAGCTAAGTGTCTTCAAAAAGACCAGTCCAATGATACTCACATTAGTTCAGGGAATAATAAAACACTCATTTGAATTCAGATGACTTTTTATGTATTCTTCAAAGAATACAACAGCAATATATGTGAGAGGTAGTACATATACAGCTTTGCAAAGTCTGCTCAAACACAAGATGCCTCCAGAAGAATACATTTGGTCAGCTTTAAGCAGCTCAAATGACATGTAAAGTAGGAGATATTTCAGCATTTCAGAGAGTTCTTTTGCTGTGTTTTAAGAAGCTATGACTTTCATTCCATTTCAAATTTTTTACTTTTTATTTCCATCTGAAACGCCAAATGCACACACAGCTATCAATTACTAAGGCCATATTTTTACTGTATGGCAAGCTCACTGTTGAGTGTTCTTTTAAGTGTAGACACTTAAGTGTACAAATTAACTTGCCTTTAGTGAAACAACAACAGAAAAACAAAATACAAGACCCCCTCAAAACAACCTTGCCCTCACCACAACAACCACACATCCACCTAGGACTAGCTTTAGCATGCTTCTGTCTAACCTAGATGAAATCTATGCAAGCATATGCCTTCGCATGAGAAATTATGTTCTCAACTGAGAGCTACTATGAGACAACTTACGCAGATGAAGATCCTTGTAACTTTCATATCTGTTAACATGTCCACAAAGGCACACTATGTTCTCACATAACCTTTACCTCAAAAAGAATTAACTTGTACTAAAAAAAAAAATGATTTCTCCATTCTCATTAATATTTTGTCTTATCACATGCTAGTAAATAGACACCTGAAGTGAAAACACATACTGAACACAGTCATCAGTGAATTAACTCAAAATTATGCACTAGTTTGATAAATACTAACACCAAGAAAAAGAACCGTTATTTGAAAAGAGTAAACTAATATTTACATGAAGCATTAGCTAATCAAAGTTAATTGCCAATCAACTAATTTGAGTGACAGGGACTAAAAGCTCATCTACATGTACTCTGCAGTACTGCTTTAATGAAGGTAATTTCTTCTTTGCTGTCATTCAAGTTTATCACTTACAGATCAATTGGCTGAAAAACTGAACCAAAAATCATGCTACTCCCTGACTGGATGATTTCTCTTAGTCAGAAACTGAAACACCATAAACCATCTTAACTGAAAGACCTTTAAGCCCAGAAAGCCAACTGTATCACAGAATCACAGAATGTTAGAGATTGGAAGGGACCTCGAAAGATCATCTAGTCCAATCCCCCTGCTGAAGCAGGAATCCCCCTGCCAGAGCCTTCTCACCATGTAACTCCTAACTGTTCTCTGAACAAGGGTGGTGTTTGTTTTTTTTTTTTCTATATGTGAAAATAGTAGCTTTTTTTTTTAAAAAAAAGTAATATGATAGACACTACTTCATCATCCTATGCATCTTCAAAGTGTAAACGGACATCAGCAGCTCAGTGCTGGACACTGAAAAGTATACTAGCTGAGGAGTGCTGGTCCTCTGAGCAGCACAAACATCAGGGTGTCCAGCAGACTGGACAGACTCATGCTGAGATGCACCTGTGTGCTGCCTGAAGGATGCACCTTCACAGAATCACAGAATGTTAGAGATTGGAAGTGACCTCAAAAGATCATCTAGTCCAATCCCCCTGCCGGAGCAGGAACACCTAGATCAGATCACACAGGAACGCATCCAGGCGGGCTTTGAATGTCTCCAGAGAAGGAGACTCCACAACCTCTCTGGGCAGCCTTTTCCAGTGCTCTGCCACCCTCACCGTGAAGAAGTTTTTTCTCATATTCAAGTGGAACCTCCTATGTTCCAACTTGAACTCATTGCCCCTTGTCCTATCACTGGATGTCACAGAGAAGAGCCTGGCTCTATCCTCCTGACACTCACCCTTTACGTATTTATAAACATTGATTAGGTCACCCCTCAGTCTCCTCTTTTCCAGGCTAAAGAGACCCAGCTCCCTCAGCCTTTCCTCATCAGGGAGATGCTCCATTCCCTTCATCATCTTTGTGGCTCTGCGCTGGACTCTCTCCAGCAGTTCTCTGTCCCTCTTGAACTGAGGGGCCCAGAACTGGACACAATATTCCAGATCTGGTCTCACCATCTACTTAACTACACAGAAGTTTAAAAGACTGACTAGTATTTGAACTGTAAACTAGCATTTGGTCAGGGCACTGTGATTTCTTACACATGTATCTTATGATGGCAAAAAACATTCATCTTTTTAGAAAATACTAGTGACCACAGAATTTTGGAAAAGAGATGAAGAGGGAAGTGTATAAGAAATGTAGGACAGGACAACCTACAAACAAAAGCCAAACTTCATCCCCTAAATTTAGGTTGTGGAAAGTCCAGATGTGATCTGAACATAGATTTCACAACACAAGTTGATACACAAGAAGTATTCTATGTATTTAACTTTCTCTTTGCCTTATAACCCTTCCATCACAATAAAATATTAACAGCTACAGAATATAAGTACCTTACACAAATTGACCACATTTCAATTGAGTTATATAAGGATTTTTTTTTTTTTTAAGATCTGACTAAAGACAAGGAAAAGGAACTGGTGAGATTTTGCATCTTCTCTCAAGACAACATTATTACGCTTCACTTTTGTTAGCTATTCTAGCTGTATGTGCCATTAATGAAATGACCCATATTTCATCCTTGAAAGAGCATAGTTACTTAGAAAAAAAAACTCTAATTGAAAATTGAAATACCTGTGAAGTCAGTGATTGCAAAACAACTGTTTACAGAAAAGCACTTAATTTCTTTATGAATCTTATTACAGCACCTGTGCAGCATAATGCATTAATGTATTACAGAACTTCAAAAAGTATGTTTTGAAGAAGCTCTAAAGAAATAATGATACAGTGTTCATTCCTATAGCATATACATATTTTTATAAAGATGTGTGTGTATGTATATATACACACACACGTACAGTCACACACAGAGATGTACATGCTCAGATGCAGAGTCTAAATCTACCTATCTATGTGTGTATTCATTCATCTTGCTTGGGCATAATTAAAGATAACGGGCATTTACCTCAAGATGTGTAATCACCATTTCTCTAACAACATAAGCAATCGTACAATCTTCAGAGTGGCATCTGACACGAAAGCTGCCATATTGCATTACATCTGGTGGATCAGGCCAATACTGATGACACTTGGTCTGTAAAGAAAATTAAGCACACATCAAGACTCTATACAAACACTACTGTTTCCAGCCTCCCTTCCTATGCTATGGTTCAGTGAATTCAAGGAGCAGTAAAAAATCTGTTCTGGTTTGTTGGTGAGGTGTTTACATCCAAATTGGAACATAAGATGACAAAACAGGCTAAATTCTCTATAAACTTCTGTTTTAGTCATTTAAAATAAAAATTCAGGTAAACTGGATGCAAGATGCTTTCTGTCTGGTTCTTACCTGCAGTTGCTAAAATGAATTCTCAAGGCATAAGGTCTTCTGCTGCTGCTAGTAAAGAGGCTGATGGTCAGATCCCTACCACTCTGCTGCCGAAATGATAAAGTATTCCCTTTCTGGTTCACCTTCTAAAGGTAGATAAGATAGGCATTGTACCTGTAACTTTTCTAGAAACAATCCTAATGCCAATATCTATTCCTCCTTTTAAAAGGTAAGCTTAGAGCAGCACTGATGACAGAAAGTCTGCCACCTCATTTCCCATCTAATCAAAGACTGAAACATTGTGGAATAGGACTGAACTTGAAAAAGTATTCCAGTGAGATACTAGTTCAGTGAAACCTTTGCCCGCTGAAGACAGCTCAAGTTTGCCCATCAACATAAGGGTTTCAACATTTCATCCCAGTAATTTAATATTCTCATCTTCCACTTCTGCAACTCCAGTCTTGTAAATAATTGGCATCATCCAATATAAACCAAGTAGTTTCTGTGTACAAGTCCGCTGGATTTATAAGAAAGGCATACTAAAGCAAAAGTCCAATTGAGCTCTAAGAAAATCCAAGGGATTAATAAAATAAACCTCTTGACACAACTCCCCAGACACTGTACTGAAAATTTTTTTTAATTGTGTGTGACCAAAACAGCTGAGCCATAACTGTCCCCTTCACTGCCTATACATTTTAGTAATAATTACTAGCTCCAAAACAAACCCAACAAACCGATATTCCCAACATGTTTATAAATTAGCTTTAGTTAATTTGGATTGTCTATCAACTTATCAACATTGCTCGTGCCATTTACAACTTTTTTTGCCTATAACTTCTTTTTAAACTAATATATAGTGGCAAGAGCTGGAAATTTTGAAAAGTTAAAGTTTCTTAATTCTACCTTTCTTAGGGCTCAATTTTCAACGGCTTGAAATTCTGATTTTAGTCATTATGCCTGAAACTTTTACTGTAGTAGTTTATCTGTCTTTCCCCTTTAAATTCAAGCCAAAATAATGCAATCATTTCTAAAAAATGAATATTACTGGAGCAAAAAAAGGTTTTTTTATCCTATAATATAAATCTTACCATCATTGAAAAGAGATATTCTAGAATGTAAAACCAGGGTTTGCTAAAAGGTTTGTCATTTGACAACAGGGATACCCTGTCAAGAACATACACCTTTTTCTGTTACTGAAAATTCACCCACAAACTGGGAAAACGTAAATTATCTCTGAAAGTAAACAAAACTCAGAAAACATGTCTGGAAGATAAAGGTACATTCCAACTCACTGGGCAAAGTACAGACTAGTACTACCCTGTGTTTCTCCTCAATACAAGGAAAAGAAAGCAGGAAGCTATTTTGACTGAAATATGGTTGAAAGATGAAGGGAGCATTTTTGTGTCAGATGGTGTTCAATAACATCGGTCTCTGCGAACAGCTACCTGAACATGGTTAAAATCTGTTCCTTTTCAGCTTCCACACTTCTTTCATGGAGTTCAAGGAGGAATTACATTGTTGCTTAATTGTCCTTACTCACATGTCAATAATTATGCTGATTAGGACCTCAAATAGTCACTTTCTTGCTTTTCAAAAACACTGGTTTTGGATGTGACATAAATTTCATAGTGTAGGATAAATCACATAGGACATAATGATAAAGGCTACAGTGAAGGCATATAACAGTCATCATCTTCTCCACCTCTTAAGAATACTGTTCAGTTTCCAGCTTCTAAAACGTCAAAAACAATCCCTATATGTACATTAATAATCTAAAAACTTAATCTTTAAAACAAAAAGGATACATTAAATCAAGGTACAACAGAATGCACTAGATACTGCTTTAATTTTGGCTGTATTATTCTGAAATTAATAGAGTGTTACAATTAATTATTTTAATTCTGTTTAAATAAATCAGAGCAATTTTAGGAAAGAACCTGCAAAATAAATGAAAGAAAGCAGGTTAAATAATTCTGACCACCAGCACGCTAAAACTAGTGAAAACTAGTAAGTACTGCAACGGCAGACCCTTGTTTGAAGCCAGACTGCAAGTTTTGCTCAACCTGCTCAATGCTTCCAGACATCTGCTGAATCATTAAGAGAGCAACTGCCACATGGAGCCCAGTTCTCCAGGGGAAGGGGGGAGAAAGGACAGTGGGTAATACCTGATTGATCAGCAAAATGGAGTCAATGCAGTGATTTCTGTTTATCAGACAGCTGGTTTGTTTTCAAATCAGCATAACAAAAAGAAAGTTGCAGCATATCTGTTCCTCTAAGTAATTTAGAAAGCCTGGTCTTCAGAGAAATGATTCCATAGAATAAGCTGGCCTATTTTAGGGTAATTGAATCATAACAATGGCAAAAAAAGTTTAAAGGCACAGTACAATTTTTCAGCATACAAAGAATCTGATCACTTACTCGTCCTCGTTCAGTGAGAGTTGTCAACATGATGATCAGTGACAACTTGTGATCCCAGACCACTTGCCAGAAGTGTGCACATGTGTGTGGAAGAGGCCCCTGAGTAGCAATGTACCTGTTCACAATGCCCACAGAAGGAATTTCCATCTATAAAGAGAAAAAAAAAAAACCTATATAAACTTTGCTCTCACTACTCAAGCACTATTTTAATTCAGCATTTCATTCAAATGGGAAGTTTTGAGGGAAGATTAAGGTGGCAAGCTGAGTAATAAGACAATCAAAATCACAATTTCTTATGTGAAAAATCTTTAAACTTAAACCAGGTGTATACTATAGGTTCTATAGTCCTTCACGTTAAACTAGGAAGAGATGACTAATACTGAAAATGTATTTGAAAACTTGAAATTGCAAAGCTTTCCAAATTTTCTTTAATATTTAGTAAAGAATAATGGCAAGGTATTCCAAAAATACACTAGCAAAAGCTGTTTACTGCCTGATACAGTAAGTTATAGTTGATTCTGTGATTTACGTGTTTAAGTATCTGAAATAAACATATATATATATGTATATTGTCTCCTCTTTTCCCTGTCTCGCAGCCTATACACGATTAGGGCAATCAGGGCTCTGGTTTATCTTTTTGACCCTTCATAGCATAGTTGGCAGGCCATAAGTGGTTCTAGAGGAAAAAAGGCTTAGTTTTAAGCTATAGGAGACAACCTCAGCATTTGCAGTATACGGAAAGGTAAAACTATTTTTACTGGTTAAAGACTCTGCACATATCACAGTGTATACCACATGCTTCCATCTACTGTGTATCAGGCTGGCCGCTTGTTTCACAAGAGACACCTCCTCTTTTACATTATGAATCTTTAAATCTTTTACATTTACAAATCCCCAAAACAGAAAATAAGAAACCTGTATTCCTTAAAAAGGCTAAATTTAGCCTGCTATTGTAATATATAAAGTGAGCAAATGCAGGTCTCTGTATGACTTACATTCACATAATTTGCATTAATGTAATCTTCGTCTCCTTGCAATATTATCCTTGTGGCATCATCTGCACACAGAAAACCAAGAGGGAATAAAATTAGCAATTAAGGGGCATGCTTACCTTCTATTAAGTAAAAAATCTGAGGAGTTGCAGACACAAATAGCAGAATACAAAGGAGAACAGATTACCCTTCAGAAAATAAAATGAACTTTGTTTATATATGATAAATGAACTTTGATAAATATGACTTTGATTATATAATGAAATCTTTAATCAAGAAGTCCCACACAGCAGTTTTATAAGCTAACATGTAGAGGATAAAGCAAAATAGGCAGAACCTGAACTTAATACTCACAAGGTAGAACGTCTTTGTATCTATTCTTGTCCATATTCTGAGGTACCTTTGCACATGTAACAGCCAACCCTGGTTTCTTTCTATAAAGTTGCTGCAAAACAGAGTGAAAAATGGTAGGATTTTGAGGCATGTGATTATGCTATATACACACTAAACAGATGCACATGAAAATAAATAGACTGAAAAAAGACCACGTTATTTTCCTTAATCTTTTTCCTAACCATCTGCAAAAGTCACCTGAGAAATTTTTGTATTGTATTTACATGTTTAAGGAAGATTTACAATACGGTTCCATACATAAAATGGAATGAAAGAAATAGGAGGCTAAAACCCCTTACTTTGGGAGAAAAGAAACAACACAGAAAAAGGTTATTCTACTGTGAGATTTACTGAATCCTAAGACTCAGTATCACAGCTCACCACGTTTTTCAACTTGAACATCATAAACAAGCCATGTGAGAAGAGAACTTGATAATATATGTAACTGAACAACTTCTATCAGTTATAACAAGTTCCGTCTTACTAGAGCCAAGTTGTAATTTCTGCTTTTTTTGGGAGACAAGGAAGAATAACTGAACATTAAGCAACAATTCTGGAGCTTCATTATTAGCCATATTATTAGCTTACATTACTTGCTGGTCACAGATATTGGTCTATATTAATGGCATTTGAGACTTGAGTATTACCTACCTCAAACTGAATAAGGACGGTCCCACTTTCAAGCCCCTTCCTTAGCTGCTCCATAGATTCCTCCAGTGTATCACCACCATATGCAGAACAGACAGGAAGAAGAGATTCTGGGAGATTGTGGGAATCAGCTTCATCTTCTGATTTAGGCTCCACAAACTGCTTAACTACTGAAAGATGTATTGAACTTTAAAATCTTTGTTACATACAGCATTAATGTGTTTGCAAAATATATTAAAATTTACCAGCTTGCCAGAACAAAGTTTGCAAAGACAAGGCCTCAGGAAAGCAAGTAGCAAAACATTTAACTGCAGTTCTTTATGTACTATTTTACTGTAGAAACTACTAAGAGCAAAATGTCCTTAGGACCTTTCAGAAAATGAAACTCCTCAAGGTGAGTATCTATGAAGGCAAAGAATTTGACCTCCAAGCACAAAGAGTTTTTGCTGCAACCTTGTCTTACAGAATTAACTGCTGAATAGGCTAATAAATAACAACATCCACCATAGTAAAACACAAATGAGTTTTCCCTAAAAAAGTTTAGTAAATAATTAATGGTATATCTCTATAAGAACCTTATGCAAGTTTGGACCACCAACAGCAAAATGAACACAAACATACTTGTATTGTACTTCCTTGCCATTAGAGAAGCAACTTTAGTATCTTTAGCAATTTCTTATGCTAACAGTGAAGGAACTAATTTAATAAGCTACAAAAAAAAAATCATTAGTCAGTTTTCTGACATTCCTTGCTAACATGTTGAAGAACATGACAAACATTAATGAACTAATCTACACAGCTGTTCTGTCTCTATGAAGGCTATTGTATCACCAAAAGTTTTCCAGTTGTGGTTATGCTCTGCAATAATCAGAATGGCTCATACCTGCCAAACTTCAGAAAATGGGAAGCTGTTCATACTCATACCTATACAAACAAATGGCATGGAGCCACAGGTTATCTTTAGCTAAGAGCAGACTTCTCTTATCTTCAAGTAGGAAGGGGACTAGAAAATTTAACGGAAGACTAAATACTGCATAGAGCCAGTGGAAAAATAGGAGCAGGACTGTTCAGGGAAAACAAGAACAAGAGCCCATCTGTCTTCCTAGAGCACATGAAATTTTAAATAAATGCTACGGAAGTACATATCATTTAGGCAGTTTTATTCCCTCCTGTTTCCCAGTGAAGCATAAACCCTTCAGATTTTTAAGTCTTAATGTAATCATAAACTCTGTGCAAAGCCCTTACATAGTCATGTATGTTAAGGTCTTACCATAGCTCTTAAGGAAAGTAATAAACTGGAAGTTTCACACCATCTGAAAGCTCTTGGGATCTGCATGTGTTTAAATACGAAGCAAGAAAAACCAAGCTGGATGGGTTCCCCATATTTAAATACACAGGCTTAAGACCCTGCATATTTCAGAGATCGTCTCCTGTTTGCTGGCAGCAGTTTAGCAAGTAGCCAGCACAGGTCAGGCTCAGTATTGTCACAAAATGTCTGTTGTAAGAATGGAAAGAAAGAAAAGAAGAAGGAAAAAAAAACCCCAAAACTACACAAACCAGCTTATTTGACTTGTTTCATTGTATAATTCTGCTGGGGAACAGCCCATGGGTATTTCCAAACCTGCAACTGGGGATTTGTGAAATTATGCTATATTTACCAAAAAAAAAAAATAAAAAAATCCCAAAACAATAAGCTTTTGCAAGAGATTATTTGTTCTAATAGATTTTTAGACTTAAAAAGAAGAAATTCTAACTTGATAGATTCCTTGTTGCAGTGGTAAGAACCTCTGTCGTTAAAACTATTTGTACGATTAACTCAAATGCAGGGAGATCTACTTTTTTGCACACACCTACTCCCAGTGCACTGAGAACACATTTATGTAAACAGAAAAGGGTACACCACCAAGCATAAGAGCAACAGTCTCAAAAACATTAAAAGCGAACAAAATTAGCCCAGTTACCTTTCCGCCTGACCAAAAGTGCAAGCTCTCTCGTGTGAGATTCTCTGCTGGCTTTTATGAACATGACCACCTGGTCATGAGTGTGCTCCGAGATATCTCGGCCATTGATTAATACTATCTGATCACCTTCGTTCAGTTTTGGAATGCATTTATCAGCCTGTTTCAAGACCAAAGAAACACATTAACATCATTTCATCCAGTCATGTAAACAAGAACACATCAGGATATTAAGTTCATCATGTAAGCAAAGTCTTCAGAGTTCTCCTGACAAGGTTTCATCTGTATCAGAAGTTCTATCAAAGGATTTAGATGTAAATCTGTCTTTTCTGCTTCAAAGCTTCTCAACGAAGACGAGGAATAATTCAAACAGCATACTGACAGATATAAAAAGAACTTGGATTTATCAAACAGCCATAATCAGATTGCTCTTAAAGATCTAAATTTCAGACTCCCAGCCTCAACAACCAGTGGTTATAGCCATTTGCAAACAAATTTCTGGAAATAGTGTTGTGGGCATGTAAGAAAACACACTTCAGTTTTTAGACAGTGAATACTGAGAAGTCCAACCATGATTTTGATTAACATAACTTAAGTAACATGACATTCCCCAGGTACGGACTTAAAATTTAAAGAAATCCATACACATTTTATATTTTTGTTATATATCAGATTCTTCTTTAGTAGATATCAAATTATATCTACAAATAGAGAACATTCTTCCTCACTTCATTCACTGAAAGTGTTAACAAGAAGATGCAGGTAAGTACTCAACCTAAGATGCTCAAGTACCCTGCATTTGTGACAAGTTCTTTTGCTACCTGTGCTGCAGAGAAAATAAAAAAAAAGGTTTTCCCCACCTCAAATGAAAACTTACATCTTGTCTTGGATACAGTAATTTAGATTAACTGCTGAACTCTAGCGCTTGTTTGTCTTTTTTCTGCCACACTTCTCAGGATGCTCAGCTCTAAGTCTAGTGCAAAGCAATTCAAGGTATGGCCAGAATATGATGATAATGCTACGAAGATGATTAAGAGACTAGAGCATCTCTTGTATGAGGAAAGGCTGAGAGAGCTGGGACTGTTCAGCCTGGAGAAGAGAAGGCTCAGGGGGGATCTTGTCAATGTATATAAACACTTGAAGGGAAGGTGCAGAGAAGACAGAGCCAGGTTCTCTTCAGTGGCACCCAGTGACAGTACCAGAGGAAGTGGGCACAAACTGAAACACAGGAGGCTCCACCTGAGCATCGGGTAACACTTTTTTACTGTGAGGGTGACCGAGCACTGAAGTAGGTTGCCCAGGGACATTGTGCAGTCTCCCACCTTGGATTATTCAAAAGCCATCTGGACATGGTCCTGGGCAACTGGCTCTAGGTGACCCTTGAGCAGCAGGGGTTGGAGAGGATGACCTCCAAACCCCTTCAAACTTTCTGTGATTCTGTTAATATGAATATGCAGGATTCTACAGCCTTGGATTGTCAAGTGGTGTAGCAATTTTATTTTCATTGCTACCCTAATTTTTATTTTGTCTAGGAAGTATCCAGCTACACCAGTGATGTATATACACTCCATTTCATTTGTTATGTGAATGAGAAATAGACCTTATTTGCCATTCATAGTTGCTCCCTGTATTTTCTTAATGCCAGCATGGGTTCCTAAAATAAGTTTATCAGTGATGTACTATATTACCAAGTTAAAATATAGGAGAGAGAGAAAGGAGAAGTGAAAGAACCAACAGAAAGAAAAATGCAGAATAAAAAAATAGATGTAAGGATATGAACAAGAAAATAAATTGGGAGCCACTTTTGTCAGAGAATAAAATAAAAGGAAAGAAAACTTAAGAGATGTACGAATGCCACAAAAGAGACACAGAAGAGAAAGAAGAGAAAAGAAACATGTATGCGAGAGGGAAAAATCCCAAGCAGAAAATCTGCTTAAAAATTTAAAAAAAGGAATAGCTTCCTCCAACGTTTTCCAATGAAATAAGAAAATAAAATAATGAAGGACAGTGAAGATTGGCAGTGATTAAGACAAACGTAAATGGAAAAACAATGGGAATTAGGAACAGGCATGACATTCTTCAACATCAATTGAACTAGGTATTCACAGCTCCCCCAAAACTCTCTTGCCATACAATTTTGTACCATTTACAAAGGTAAGACTGAAGAATGCAACTATGAATGAATGATTGATTTAATCATTCTGAAATATTATTGTTTGAGATATAAATTTTTCTCTCTGAAATACAAATATTTGAAAAGAAGTGATATAAAGACCATATCAGGTCAGTCTACGAGAGTAAGGAGTTAACAAGAAAATGGAGGGAATGGTTTATGATCTCCTATACTTGTCTACAATTTAGATTTCTTGTCTGGTTGATAGCTATTATTATTACAGAAGGAGATTAATATCTTTGCTCAAATAAACTGTTAAACATGTTACATGTTAATGCCTCAGCTCTCTTACTTGATCTGACTATATAAAATATATCTTGAAGGAGAATTAATTACTTCCGTATAAGCATAATTTGTAGATTTTTCAGATACTGTGGTTTACCGGACAATTAATTATATCAAAGGCTTCCTGTCCTATTGACACACCCAATGTTTAATTTTATGCTAATCACCTGATTATTGCCCTAAGAAGCATGCCTACTATTTTTCAGTGAGAAGCACTATTAAATAAAACCATGATGACTTCTTTAGCACCTTAGGGCATTAATACCATTTATGAAAAAAAAAAAAAAATCAGTGTAGGACTTTAGTTAAAAAAAACCCAAACAAACAGATGCAATAAATGGTTGTTCTTTAGATATAATGATGTCCCACAACAATTTTGGCTACTCTACCCATACTATATCTTACCAGTATACTTGACTGCTGCTGTGTTAGAGGAGAATTTTTAAAAGAAATTTAGGAAGTGAAAGGGAAAATACTGCCTTATTTTGGCAAGTAGATTTGCTTGCCCTACTCCACAAAACATACAGATCTTTTTGTAGACAAATTGGAAGAAGTGACCTACAAACCTGAGAAATAATCTCAGCAAATAACATTAGCAAATAATATTACCAAACAGCACCCTTGAGAACAATTTACAGGGCAATGAGTGAATCTAGAGCAAGTTAAAATAGTAGCAAATACAATAAAGGAAAAGTGACCTTCAAACCTGAGAAATAATCTCAGCAAATAATATCACCAAACAGCACCCTTGAGAACAATTTACAGGGCAATGAGTGAATCTAGAGCAAGTTAAAATAGTAGCAAATACAATAAAGGAAAGGCATCACTGAACTAAAATAACATAAAAATGCATTCCATAAACTGCTTAACTTGAACTTTCAAATATCAGCTACATTTCATTAAACAGTCAAGAACAGGTAAAATTTAGTTTATGGAAAACAATATAATCAGTGTTAATAATGCTATGCTCTAAAAAGAAATACATTTTCCTCTTGCTGTAACATGACGTGATTTCTATAACACTGCTGTTGAGTATATTGTATTGGATAACTGTTTCCAATTTATTCCCTGATCCTTGATAACTTGCTTGCTTGGTGACTTACCGGTCACTTGCATCTATGCCTATGCCTCTAACTAGAGACACTCAAATTAAGTGTGTAAGTTAGAAGTCCAGTCCTTTTCCAAACGAAGAGAAAAAAACAGATCAATACTTTCCAGGAGACAATCTGAATGCCTCTGAAGAAGAATCTTTCAATCTCTGATTGTGGAATAAACCTGTTTGCTCTACATTAACTCCAGTATCTTGAATAACCCTTAAGAAGTTTGGTGGGTTGACCATGAAAATTTTAAGGGTTGCTTTATTTTTACTTTGTGGATTTAAGGTAATGATCATTTCCTACTACTCTATTCAAATAATTATTGTAGTTCATAAAGGAATGCTATGCACTGTTTAAATCAAGCCACAAATCATAAATATGACAGAACCAACTTCTCAATCTGCTTTAGCTTGATTTACATCATGACATTTAAATACCAGTCCTGTGACATCTTATAAAATTTCAAGAGTCTACAAGATACAGAGTACGTCAGATTTTTATGATTAAGTCAGCAACCTTTCCTATCAAGTTTGCACTAAAATTATTTTATGAGAGTTTGGAAATATACTTTGGAAGAAGAAAAGGGAAAAAAAATTAAGATAAGATAACATATGTCCTCACAAATTTATGTACTAGTTATTTAGAAAAAAGTTACCAAGTTATTCTATTACTATTATTATTTCACAATTCGACAGAAGAATTCAATAGCTGGATTGATTCTGATAATTGTTCCACTAGTCCATAAATAGTTCCATAAACAAAAATCCATGGCAAAACGAAAACAGAGCAAACATATTCTGTGCCCCCTCCCCCGCCAAGTACTCTCCCATTCTATAAATATTTTCAACCCTAAGGATTTCCTCTACCTATTATGGTTTGTCTATTCAGAAACTGTCAGCAGGTTTTTCTCCCAAGTATTCGTCCTCTCCTGAACAGTCATAAAATTATTTTAACCATAGCATCTTTTGTCAAGGAGTTTCACAGATCTACCACCTCAGGTGTGAAGAACTATTTCTCTAAGCCTAAAGAACCTGACTTTCACTAACTTTGGTGCCTGTAGTTCTTCTACAGGAATTCCCTGCTCCCATTGCTCCTAATCTTAAAGATCTCTACTACATCCCCCTTAAAATAGTTCTTTTTTCTAGACTGCAGGGGCCCAGACTACTCACTTCTTTAATGAATGCTGTTCCATATCTTCAGTCATCGCTTTAGCCCCTCATCAAACATTTTCCAGTTCAAGATGCACTTTTTGAGATGACAGGGGAAACAAACATGCTTCTTACTGGTATTTTGTTTGGTTAACACTTTCAGTTCTTTTCATCTGTGGTTTAAGAAACCACTGGTCAAATAAATTTCTAAAGAGAACAGCTCAGCTGCTATCTCATACTGGTCATGGGTTTCCAAATTCCTACATGTATGGACCTCTGTGAGTGGTGGAGGGAATAATAAAGAGAGGGATTAGAAGTCTGAAGAATTTACTTACAGGTGATCCTGGAGTTATTCTTGATACCACTAATGGCATTTTTTGATCTACACCACCCTAGAGGAAAGCCAAGTAAATAAAAACCATAAATATATAATTATAATAAGCATAAGCATAATTTAAAATAAGCAATCACTTATTTTTGTTTTTATATGAACTTTATACTCTGTCATTCAGACGGAATTTTCATCAGTAAATTCGGGGTGGGGGGGGGAGGATGTGGAGGTGTGTACCTTTAAATCTACCAATTTCCAGTAAACTAGACCCCCCGTCTTTGCTTGGCCATATGTTTTAGTAGACAATAAACAGATGAAATGCAGCATTTACTCTAACTCTACCCTTCATGTAAGCCCAATTCAACACTTGAACTTGCAAGTTGGACAGTGTTCTTAGATGTTGTGAACCTGTAAGTAATCAGATAGGATCACAGTTCTGACAACTGTACTCCCTTATTCTCTTTACATGATTTTCTATCACTGTGCCACCAATAAATGCCCAAGGCAAAAAGATCAAATTCTGCCCTGATTTTGATATTATAGGTACTTTACATTACTCTATCTGCATAAATGGAATTTCAGTGAGGGAATGACAAAAATTTACAATAGTCAATCATCAATAGCAATTTCCCTCTTCTTCATAAATTAATTTTCACCTTTCCAATATGATTTTTAATGGATATATTCAATTGGATAGCACAAACTATTTAACTTGTTTTATAATACAGAGGTCCAGTTTTCCAAAAGTTGATGCCCTAAATTAGGCTTCCAAGTTCATATTTAAGCAGCCAAATGGGCAATCTGCTTTGGAAATGTGCCACACCCATAGTATATGCAACTGAAAAACACAGAACTAGCAGAGGCTTATTTCTGTAAATGTTGCTTTAGTCTTTAAGGACTAGGCTGCCAGTTCTAAAAATTCTCGGTCTGTAAGAAATTAGCGTAGAATATACTGCTTTGGCCAAAGCATTGCATTAAAAATGAAAAATTATCACAAAGTCAAAGCACAGTATCTCTATAAAGAACTTAAAAATAACTAAAAGATTGATGTTTTACCTTTAGATTAAATCCAAACTTCCCGTCTTCATCTGGTATGATACGTACCAAAAGCAAATCTCCCTCAATTAGGTCATTCTGCAATATAAAAACAAAACAAACCCAAACTTTTCTCATTTTTAAAATAAAATACCAGCAAATTAGAAAATAGTGCATCCAAATTTGATGTGCTGAACAAGAATACTCTATGTAAATCCACATTTAAAATAGGAAGAAGCTAAGGTTACAGAATATGCTCATGATTGTAACCTTTTAAATTGTAAAAATAGCAACATACATAACAGCAAATATGCTCTCTGCTTGCTCTTTCCTAACACTGTTACTGTCATCTCAGCTTTCTCAATTGATAGCTCCTATTAAAATTTTCAATGTGTTGTCTTTACTAAAGGTGACTTAAAAGGAATAAATGTTAGGTGCAACGCATTTGAATCAATTCTACTCTAAGGACTATGAAGTGATTCCTTTATTTCCCCGATTTTTCTCCTGTAAATGGGTGCATCAGTATCTTCTGGAAGAGATCCACAAGCCAGAAGGATTGAAAGTTGGCAGCAGCTACTGGACAGCCAGAATAGGAAGCTGTTCAGCACCCCTCTGGAACAGGCCAGAGAAAGGGGAGGAATGATCCACTACCATAACGCTACCAGTGAGCGGCTGCTCTCTAGGCAGTGGAGAATTCAAAGGATGATGTTTAGCCATCCTGAAGAAGAGATGTCTGGGATAAAGCAGAGTTGTGCCTGCTATCAAGACATACAGCAACTTGAGTTATCTGATTTTTTCCCCTTGGAGGAAAAAAGATTTAATCACATAAGGATTCCCATTCCACTAGGAACTTCCCCTGCAGATGCTTCTGGAAGCCTGGACAGCATGGAAATCAATGCAGTTGACAGGCTTGCCTATCATATTGTGTTCACAACCTTGGATACATCTGAGTAGTAAGACAAGATTTATTCTTATTACTGCATAAAATATGCTCATCCTGAAACATAACCACAATTTTTGTGCATTCGTAATCTTCAGTTCAAAGTTACATTCAGTACTAGTTTTGACCCCAGAAGAAGGCAATTGAACGTACCTTATCACAGTAGTACTGGCTGGAATCTTCTGTTGAGCTACTTTTTGTAACATTGTCGTATGTTTCTAAGAACTGTTTATCCACCCCTTCCAATGGGTAACAGCCAGAAATGTTACCAACTCCATTGGGAGACTGAGCCAAGGCTTTAGGTGAGGTACGGGTCAGAGAACTCCGCACTGGACTGTTTCCCAATACATTCCTTCATTTAAAAAGGATAAATAAATATTACAAAGGTATTGCTATCCAGATTTTTAAATTAAATAGTAAAACATACAAATGTACTGCCCAGTTAAAAGAGCATGCCAACTTTATATTTAACACCATTTCCTGAGGTGCAGGGTAACAGGATTGGACTATGATCTGAGCCTACTGTTTCATCTGTAGACATCCAGAAGAATGGACAAAACTAAACTAGAGTAGCAAAAACATTTTTGGCAAAATATTTGGATGTTAACAGTGAAAGGCACGGTTGCAGTGGCACAGGAAATCACAGTAACATGAAGAGAGCTGAACCCCAGGGGAAAGGCACTTCTGGTGCCAATCCCACCCATGAAAACCTTTTGCCGTGACTCCACTCTAATTCTTGCAAAGCCTTCCCTCCCCCCCCCCTCCTCTTTTCTGAGTGCCATCTCAACCTTACCCCTCTGGGAAAAGGTGCTTTGCAGAAAACCCATGGTAAATTCTCAGAACAATAGGAAATGAAGTGACTATTACAGGTTTAATTACAGTTAAAATATTCTGTCATTGAGGTAGTTATAACTATGTAGAAAGCCCCAGAATTAAACTGGGGTGCAGACCTAGCCTAGTGATTCAAGAACCTGAAAATTCAAGGGTAACAGAAGTCAGTAATTAAATACCTCAGATCTTAGAATTGGCCAAGTTGCCTGGTGGTGCTCCAGGACCTTTCAAATATTCATTTAGCTACATGCCCTCTAATGAAAAGGGTGAAATGCAGACCTCTAATACAACTAAAACCCTTCTTCAATTGTACCAAACTCACAGCTGCATACAAACTAACTGCTCCAGCTTTATAAATACTACATAATACTTCGTGAAAAATCTCTGTCCTGGGGAAAGCTCAGAGATGGTGTCCTATCACCAACATACAGCACTGTGTATGGCAGAAAACAAGTCCTAGCTACTCTATCACCCCACTGCAGACAGACCTTTCACTTACATGATAGATCTTCATTCTCAGTGGCAATATATTTTGTAAGAACAATCTGCACCGCTACTGACAACCCAGCATTGCAATGAAGCATATTTGATCTTTGGAAGTGCATACGCTGTTAGTTGTTTATTGCAGTTTATCCCTAAAAGCAATGTCAACTTCTCACAGGGTTAAAGTAGCAGAAGTATATGCAAGTAAACCCTGTAATTAAAATTTGTAAATTCAAACATTTATTTTTGCTCTGGTACCAGCCTAACTACATACGTGAGATTTTTGAACCATTTCCAGCAGCCACTGCTAGCTGTCAATGAAGAAGTAATACCATGCTACAGAGGAATGTAGCTTAGGCTTTTGACATACAGGACTTGCACTGCAGCAAACTTTAATAACACAAACACTTATTTCTTGGCTTGTGTAAATCTGACTGCAAGCAATGTAAACATTCTGAAAGGTGCCAAAAAGCAAATGTATTCTTGCCATAATATTCCTGATGTTCAGTTATACTACGTGCACTTGGCAATGGGAATGAAGCATTTTGTGCAACATTTGCAGAATTTCCAGTTACTACAGAAAATATTTTTTTCAGTGTCTGGGAGATATAATTCACTTCACACTCTCAATAATTTCAAAATACTTTGAAGTAGTGAACTATAATAACAATTAAAGGAATTATACTGTCAAAATTGTGTTTTTATCTAATAGCTTCCAGGACTTTTCATGAGATCAATGTCAAGCAAGGAGGAACACTGTATATGTAAATGCACCCTAGTAAGTTTTTCAGAACATAGTAATTTTTAAAAAACCATTTAACTTACAAGTTAAGATTATAGATTATGATTTTTCAGTGCAGAAAAAAAAAGTTAACAATCCCAGAAAAATATGAGAAATTATTTCAGGTAATGCCTTCTGGCACTATATAAAGAGCTACTAGCTAAAATTACCAGTGGATTTTTGCATCATTAAACTTTTACAACAGTTTTTAACCATTGTTTTTGGTTAATAGTGATTAGCAGTATATTAGGACTTAAGATGTTCCACGTGCTGATCCAAAAACTTATTTTTTTTCACAAATCTTTATAATCTTCATTGGTTTATACATTTATTTGTGTCTTTTAACCACACAAGACACTAGTTTGAAAAATCAGTTCAAGTTATGTATTTTGTTATATGTCTTAAAGTTAGAGATTCTATAGTAGAAAATTTAAAGAAAACTCACTTTGGTGATTCTTGTTCAGACGACCTGGTAAAGAAAAAAAAAAAAACAATCAGTAAATTAACATATGTTAAATCTTCGTGAGAACAAGAGCTAAACTCTAATTAAAAAAAAAAAGGCTCACAGTAAATCAAAGAATACTTAGTCTTATGCTAAAAGTCTGAGTCAGACCATTAAGGAATTTATGAAACACTCAACAAAAACCTCAGTGCAGCTCTAACCACTCACTTCCACTTTTGGCACAAGCCCAACTACAGACAACACACATCTGCTACTGCAACTATGTAGGAGTTTAAGGAGACAATTATTTAACAAGACACACTACATCATTTAACAATGTTTTAGATGTGGATCACAATGACTACAGACATCACTGACTGTATTTTGTAAAACATTAAACGTGGCAGAATCTTTGTGCACAGGTTACAAAAAATAAGCATCGGTGGCTTCAGAAGCACAAAGTTTCTTACACTTATTCTCACAATGTGAGAGCAGAACAGAACTTTAAGACAAAACATAACTAAAGCAGAAGTGGTTACACAGATGAGGAAAAACTATCAAGGAAAAGAAATAAAAATTTGCAGTACATAGCATTTTCCAAGGCATTCAATTAGCTTCATCAGAAATTACCTGAAACTGTGAGCTAAACTCTATTACATGAATGAAAAAAAAAAGCTGGGATACTAAGATAAACTTGAAGGTACAAGTTACCAAAAGAGGCGCTTGCAAAGCAAAGTTTAAGGCAGATGGGATAGCTTTACAAATTTAAAGTAGTGACTAAAAAACTTGGAGTGATAAAAGTCCATGCTGGAAAAAGGCAAATATTAAGCAGTTTGGTTTGAATGTAGAGTTGTTGAATTGTCAAGTTATAGGAGGCAATTCACAGTATACAGTTAGATTTTCAATTATTGTTCTCTAAAGCAACCTCAATACTAAGAATTATGTACTATGTTTCATCAAAACTACGGTAAAAACAGCAGCGATATCAATTTAGTTAAGTTTCCTTAGATGTATTCCATGTGATATGAAGGAATTCTTCCTTGAGAGCCAGAGATGGTGAAGCTTGATTCCCTAAGAATTTGTGGAGGTTTGAGTTGTCTATACTTTTATTTTTTTAAAGAACTAAACTTCTTCCTTTTTTACTGCACTCATGTCTCGCTTCTGATTCCACTGACATCCACCCCAACTCTTCCACAAATACCTCTGGTTCTCCTTGTTTGCAATACCCACAGTATTTTTACCCCTTAAGTGCCAGCAGTGTGCAGCAGATCCTTTGGGAACGTGCTGCCTGACCAGCCCACATCTAAATGGAACAGACAACAACTGAGCTCGTGCTGTAGTTGCTCAGTGAGAGAGAATGTCAGTTTAAGTTTATTTATTTTTCTGCCTAGTCAGTGACTTTCACTGATCTTGTAGAAAACTTTGTATCTTTGAAAGCTCGACTCCTACATTAGATTTGAGTGCAATCGTCCAAATGTTCTCAAGTGGGAACAGAGGCAGAGGGGCAGTTAAGTCATATTTCCTTAGGAAGTAATGCTAAAAATAAAGAAAAACTGAATTTATTTTCATTTAAGCTAATTGATTTCCTTGTAAGGCAAAGAACAATGAAACTGTATGTCTTTTCCATGTTTTGCAACAGTAGAGCTACAGCTCTATTACTAATTTTTGTGTAGAATTCAAGTTTCCCTAAGTTAAGCCTTTCAAAAGCCTTCATCAAAAATTTACATACATAGAATTGTGATGCAAATTGATGCAATGTCCCTATTTTAATGTTATCTCCCCTCTTTCCTCCCAATAGAGTGAGGTAATTTGAGACTGAAAAAACCAGCTTGGGCTTCCATTCATATACTGTGTATAAACATACAGCAAATTTTTCATCATCTCAGTAATACACTTGGAGAATTGAATGTGGGAGTAATATTTGCTGAAGGTTTTTCTGTTGAATTATTGCACTATTAATTCATACATATCAGCTCAGAAAGAGTCAACGAATCATTCTGTAACCTTTTAAAGTTGAAAAAAAACCCAAAAAAATTGACCTAGAAAGCAATGAAATTCAAGGCTTAAAAGAATTCATCAGGGACAATGCAGCTGTGTCTTCCTGAGGTCCTCAGTAGCTCAGCATGCTAGAGCTGCAGAATTTTGTTCTGCAACTCAATTAAATAGTATTTCTAGCATTTAATTATTCACCAGTATGATAAAGTACCTTAAATATTAATAACGAGATGGTCTTTTCTGGCTATATAGTATTTCACATTTTACTAACCTATCATCCTCATTTCACAACATATGACAAGGACCATGTTTTAAGTCAATAAAAGAGAACACTCACCAGACCAGCCATTCAACTCTTTTATTGAGAAAGAGAGCCCTTCCTTGCAAGGAGATTAAGCTTTCCATTGGTGCAGCTAACAAGCAAACTGCAGGCAATTTCTCTTCCTTACTCCACAATATATCTAAAATGATGCTATTTCAATCTTTCACTCACTATGGATTCCTCTGTTGGTCACGATCTTTACAGTAAAACTCTTTGCCCTGAAAAAATCTAATTTGCCTCTTCTGTCAGGAGGACAGAAAAGAAAAGTCTTAAGCAAAGACCCCTCCTCCTGATTTTGGTGTACCCTACCAGGGAATTCTGCTATTCTGAGAGCTGAAAATGACAAACTACAGCAGAGTAAAACCCCGAGAGAAAAGGGAGAACTCAAACAATAGCACTGTAGCAGAACTCCTCCTTTATAAACAACTGAAGGAAACATCTGTGGGTTTTGCCCTTGTGCTGTTCTTGAAGTTCTTAAAGCTCAATTTATTGTAACATCTGCAGGGATGGGGAGACTGAATGTGCCAGCACTTCCATTATCACATCTTTTCTGAGAACTCACCATTAAAACTGGGATTATTATACATAAGCCAAATAAGTGGAATATATTTGCAGTAACACCTTTTCGCTGCCTTTTAGAGAAATTTACATACAGAATATTCAGCACTTCTATGAACAGAATGCCTGTGTAAGAAGGCCATGCAGATTCAGATTCTTTGTGCTGGATACTTAAAGAGTACCAATATAGAAAAACATGAGGACTTCATGGTATACATAAGTTTTCCAGTTATTTTCTACAAATTTGAAAGATTCACATTTGTAAGCTGCTGCCATCACCCATAAAAAGGTATGTTCAGTTACTCTGCATATATAATATGCAATACAATATTGACCATATTCCAGTTTACCAACTTTCCATAAAAGTTTCATGTATTCTGATACTCTGGCACTGCTTGGTTTGCTGCAAAATTTGCCATATCACAGATTTGAGATTCAGCTTTGAGACTTTCTTTTTGGATGCAAAATGATTGTTTTTTGAACTGGCAATGAAAGTGTAGTACATTTTAATAAGGATATATATTTAAAAAGAAAGGTTTACATGTAAGCAGAATAAAGATGTCCTATTTTCCTGTATATTTGAGTGAAAGAGCACAGTAAAACTCATAAAAGTCTATCAGTAGTAGTTTTAAAAACCTAATTTGAAACTAATTGAAATATTCTCAGACCACTGCTTAGTATTAGAAGGACATCTTCCTTGAGAAAGACTGAAATACACAAACAAGGACAACAGACTCTTGTGAAATGCAGCAGATTTTGGAAAAACAAGGAATTGATCACGTGTGTATATGATTAAAAACTAAGGATAAAAACTTAGTTTAAAAATTATTTTTTTTATTATTTGCAATTTTCTACCAATAAAGTAGTTACTAGGACTTGGCTGAATACATCGGAAGGATACTTTTATCAACAGTAATTAATGCTTTAAAAATCTTGTTCACAAAAAGCATTAAATTTTAGTTAAAATAATGATGTGTTCTCTTAGCACATTCACCAAAGCTCACTGTGCAGCTACAGTTCATTGTCTATCAAAATGGGAAGCTGAAAGAATTGAACAAATGCAGCATACGTTCAGGAAATCTATTTTCAGCGCAATACCTTCACCAGATGATGCATCACACTTACACAAGGAGTGTATATGCACTTCCAGAAATTCATAGCACAGTGCAAATGAATTTCCTTTTTGTATACCGGTTCATCATTTCATTTCCTTCCCCTCCAACTCTGTGACTGTACACATTATGCCATCTATATCATGAGCAAAAGACAGTTTTAGAATATAAGCTAAAGAGGTTTATAGCTTTGCAAGCATGTTTAAAGTTAAGAGAAAAACTCATGCAGGAATATGTTGCATTTATAACAAGTGGAATTGTAGACTCAAAGTAATTTAGGTTGGAAGGGATCTTGAGAGATCACCTAAACTCTTGTTCAAAGAACAGCCAACATCAAAGTTAGATGAGGGTGTTCAGGTCCTTGTCATGTTGAGCTCCAAGGTTCTCCAAGGATGGAAACACCTCCACCCTTCTGTCAATGTGTACGACGGTTTAACAAAGCTCAGTGTGATTCTACCCCTCCCCCCCAGTGTCTTTTGAGCATTTCTCTTGCTGTAACTTGTGTACATTGCCTCACATGCTTTTGCTGTGCACCTCCAAGAACAGTTGGCTCCATATTCTTGATAATCCTCTTTGGCAGAGTCAGGCAACAATGTGACTGACCCGTCCTCAACTCCCCCAGTCTTCTGGTTTTCCTCATACATCGTACGCTCACATCTTAATAACTAGCCAGATTTATCTGACTAATCAATTTATGACTCTAAATATAAGATCTATAATACATTATCTGAGTCTACTCCAATAAAATAACAGAACACTTGTTCCTATGCAGTCTGCTTTTCCAAATCTTTGGTTTATTTAATTACAGAGTGAACAAGAGAAACTGAATACAGTTCAAGTTGCAAGACTCTCCACACAGCTTTTTCAGGTTACTTTTCCAGCCAATAATCCAGTTATTTTTTCCCTTAAAATAGGACCTTATACACACAGTTAAATTCATATATTCTTACTAACAAGCATCCATCCCACTCAGACGTGTTCAGAAACATGAAAAAAGGCATTAAGAGGGGAAGCAAAAGCTATATTAATGCTCCAAACAA